GGTCAGAACAGATTAACTGTATTTACATTGAACCTTATGGGAAAATTTGATTCGGGTCGCGGAATGAATTAAGTTTGTGACCCGAGGTGCCACTGTATATAGATAGATAGATATAGATATATATGCATGCATGCATGCATGCATGCATGTTTGAACACAGACACAGTTCAGGCAAGGATGTTCAGCTGAGTTTTGTTTGTGCTTGGAAGGAAGGCCTGGTTAGTACTTGAATGGGAGACCATCATGGAATATCAAGCTATATTGGGAAGTTGAAAAACATTGTGGAAAAAGGTGGTGATAAACTGTTTCTATATTATTGCCAAGAAAACCTACATGGACATGAAACAGCCACCAAGATTGAAGTTTGAATCAGAAGAGACTTCATGTTTACCTTATTTTTGACCCAACTGTCATTTCTTGATGACGGATTATTGTTCTTAACTGATAACTTTCCCTCAGGAAAAGGGGTGGGAATGTGTGGCCCTCCAAATATTGCTGAACTACAAATCCCAGCACCCCTCCTATTGGTTGTGCTATGAATTTATTTATTTACTATTACATTTGTATGCCGCCCATCTCCCCCCAACAGGTGACTCAGGGTGGCTCACAGTTAAAATCAAAAATCCCATCAACAATTAAAAACACCCCATAAATAATTTAATTAATCCATTAAAAATCAAGTATAAAAAACCCTGTACGTAAATACTAAAAACATTCAAGATGATGGGGGAGGGCAAGGTCAATCACCCCAAAAGCCATCTCCACTAGTGCAAGCCCCCATCCGGCCCCCAGGCCTTCTTGTATGAATTGTAGTTCAGCAACATCTAGGAAGCTGTACAGTGCCCACCCCTCACCCACCCATGGCAGGATACATACTTCAGGGCATCCTTTGTGTCCAACATGACCAGGTAACATTCCATGAGAATTCTAATATATTTCTGAGAAATGCAAACTTCTATATCAGGCCAATCTGTGTCAGAAGACTTTCCTAAGAGCTAGACTAAAGTTGGGGTCATTAGGAGTTTTTCTCCCAATGCAAATAGGAACCTCAGAAGAGGTGTTTTCAGAAAAGTACAAAGAGTGAAGTGGTTTAAGTCTCCCTCTCCACCTGTTGTACTTACCATACATGTTACTCCCATCACACATGTGATGCCATTTTAAATGCAATGCTGCCTGTTTGGTGGAGAGGAGGATGTTCCAAACTCCTAAACCTATAACCCTTTTGCAATAAAGGCTATTGTGCTACACTCAAGAGAAAAAAATAATTGCAACTGAGGCACACCTCAGTTTTATTTCTACAAATCTTGTTTATAAGAGCAGAGATTTACTTTAAAGTTTAACTGTTGTCTGTTTGACTGGTGGGTGATCTGCTTGTTCCTTCTGTGATATGACATCACGCTGAAGAATTGCTTCTCTGTATTTGGGCATTTCAAGAGGCTGCTTTTAACGTTAGGCTGTTTCAAAGCCTAATTTCAGTATGTGTGTGCGTGGAGTGTTGGTGCGAGAAAGAAAGGATGCGAGAATGAGATATGTGTGTGAGAGAATAAGGTGAATATCTGACAGAATAGGGTGTGTATGTTTGGGAGATGATCAAGGATACGGTACTGGTATGTGAGAGAAGAAAGTGTTAGGGGAAACAAATGAAAGAAAAGTTTGAGAAAAAGTGGAGCTTGTGCATGAGAGAGAAACATGACAGAAATGGGTTTGTGAGTACATTGGGGAGGGAATTGTAGACTGTGTTCCCACTGAAATGCCTGCTGTCCTTGGTTCTATCCTTGCATTCTGTTGACATGCAAACCCGAACATAGGTGCCTTAGGGCAAAACCATTTCCCCGCCAATTGTGTCATTCTCTGGTCTCTGCTATGTAACAACTCTAAGAAATGAGCTCTGTTTCATTGCTCCTGTAAGGAAAGTGAATGTGGAAACTACTTAGAAAAGTTAAAAAATAAATAGGCTACAACAGGCCACAGAAGTGTGTGAAGTTATATGAATGGAACTTATGAAAAAGGATGCTTGATGGAAAGATGATACGAAGGGTTCTGTGAATGTGAAAGAATTTGTAAGTGCTACAAAAACTATGAAAGATATTACAAAATGCAGAGAAAATGGAATTGCAAAGACTGTGATTAAAAAGAGCAAGGAACAAGGTAGAATAAGAGAAAATGCTGAATGGTTTTGATAAAAATGTATAATTGTTTTGAAAGTAAGTGAAGACAGCTAAACAAGGATCCTCCAACAGAGGAAATGGAATTAAGATAAAAGTGATGTAATTATTTGGGTTGAAATTGGAAGTGAGAGAATGCTGGAAGTTGCACTTTAGAGATATGTAATGGAATTAAGATAAAAGTGATGTAATTATTTGGGTTGAAATTGGAAGTGAGAGAATGCTGGAAGTTGCACTTTAGAGATATGTAATGGAATTAAGATAAAAGTGATGTAATTATTTGGGTTGAAATTGGAAGTGAGAGAATGCTGGAAGTTGCACTTTAGAGATATGTACGAGAATGATGGTGATGTGTCAAAAGGTAGAATGGAAAGAAATGCTATAAATATTAATGTTCAAGAACAAAATAGATGAAAAAGAAATTAATTCTGTCAGAATGTTGAAAAATGGAAAGGTTGCAGGTGTAGAGGTGTCACTGAAGAAACATTAAAATCTGACAACGGTTTGCTTATAGAATGACTTTGCAATTTGTTTACTGTGTGTGAAGACTGCATCTGCGCTTGACTAACAGTAACGTCCCTATACATAAGGAAAGATAGCAAGTGTCAATGGAAAAACTACAAAGCACTGGGTTATTAAGTGTATCTGGGAAATTTTTTTGGCAGAATTCTGACTGAAAAGGTACAAGGGGTGACAATGAGCAAAATTTGGGCAGTGCAATGACTTTATGCCAGACAGGTATAGAACAAACTTGCTGTTTAGCTGATTGTTGAGAAATGTACAGTATGCCTGAAAAAGAAAGTTCATTGTACAAATGATGATTTAGAGAAAGTGTATGATAAATGAATAGTTTTGAACTATGGAATATTTTGTGCAAATATAGACTTGGTTGCTGAATGCTATGAGTGCCACATAATGGAGCTAAAACATGCATGAGAATAAAGGAAAGCTCATAAAGGAACTGAGCAGGTATGAGACAAAGATGTGTGAAGTCCCCTTGCTCCTTTAACGTACTGATGGATAAACGAATAGGGAACGTTTTTGGTAGTTGGGAACATGCATGTAAACATTTTTGTATGCAAGCAAAGCCATGTTTTTGGCTGACAACTCAAATGGTCTGCAGAGAATTCAGACAGATTGCATGATCCATCACAAACCAAGGTAGTTGGGAAAATGGAATGAATTATTGCAAGTCACGCATTAATTATTAAAACTAAAACAGGTAGATGAATTTGTATATCTTGGTATAACATTTACTAAATCTGGGAAAATATAAACATTTCATAACTTGCAAATACTGGTACAATGATAGTGGGTAGGGTAGGGTCTGTTGCAAGGAATGAATGTTTGTTGAATTAAGCAAAAATGCCTGTGTATAAAAACATGCTTCTGCCCACTTGCTATATGAATCGGTTATATTAGGGAAAACATAAAAATAAGTTGCATGTAGTGC